ACCTCGCGTGCAAACGAGGCCCAGCTCTGCTCACTGGCGACCAAAGAAGTGATATGACTCACGATGTTTTATGTTACAGTAATTACTGTGCTGTTTAAAATTTACAATAAATTGCTAATCTTAATATAAAATAAATAGCATATATTATTTACACTTACAAAAATTGCTTTAATTTCTCTGAGAGTTGTAATAAATCCTTTTTTCGTTATGATTCAACGGCACCAATTTGTTTTATAACTTTGAACGCCATTTTGCAAACAGTCAAGTTGATTGGGAGGCGTCTCGTAAGAATACATTTTCATGCTAAGAACCCTAAGCTTTATGAGAAATGCAAAGTAAATTGTAAGTTTTTTCACTAATAATAATTTTATTTTTACAACAAAAGTGTTGCCTTTTAAAAGATCTATTTTTAATGTTTTTTTTTCAAATTACAGCGTTTATAATATTAGCAAGAAAGTATGATTATACGATCGTTACTCAACAAAAGAAATGCTTCAGGAAAACATTCCTATAACTTATATACGTCTCCAAATGTTGTCAGGAAAAATAAAATTAACAACATCATAGTTAAATTAATGATGCTTTCGAAATGAAGACAATGCGAAGAAACGAGAAGAACGTATCATTCTAGTTTTAGTGTGGCGTCTCACTGTACAAAATATAAAATAATTAAATAGATGTGAGTATAGATTCCAAATAACGATTGAAGATTAAATTAAGACTTCGCTATGTCCCTACATGTGAAATCGCTATTTCATCATACCAATAACGGCTTTACGGATCCAGATATAATTAGGCACAGATTTATATTACAGTCTGGAGGAACACATCGACAATTTACTAAGTTTTTTTTTAATCTAGCGGACTATGTCGCGAGCAAAAGCTAGTAGAACATATTACACTGTGTTTACTAGTTAACATTTTGACCTATACTTAATGGCAAAAAACCAATTTCACAAACACAACTTAATTTTTTTTTCGTTTTTAATTTGTTGTGTCCAGTACGATGTGTGACCACACTAACTCGTCATTAAGGATCAGCTGTAACCGCTGCTTTATTTGAATGAGCCTCGGTAATTACACCGCCGCCAATTAAGCTCCGCTCAGTAATACTCTTACATTTATAACGGACAGCTTCAGACAATTAACTGACTTGATTGAGAGCTTTTGAAAACTTACGCCGCTTATCATTATATAAGCTACAATATTGATATAGTATTAAGGTATATAAACATGCACATTGTAGAAGGTAGCTACCACTAATATGGTATTCGAAATAGTTTAAATCTATTAAACAGTTTTGATTTTCTAAGGGGAGCAGCTGCCATCCCTACCGATTGCCAGAAGGCAATGCCCGTATTTTAAAAGGAAGCCGTTAAAGCTTATTTGATTAGTTTTCGGAAAATCAAATAATTCTTCATTGTAATTTATCTTTTTACTAGACATAGGCTAAGATAATCTTCCTATAATATTAACAAAGGCAGTCAAAGTGAAAATATTTTTTTTAAAAAAGGCATGATATTATTAAATTTAAATTTTATATTGAATTGATAATGATCTCATAATGAAGATTGAGTTATGGGTGGACAAGCGGGTGTGCGATTAGGGTTGCCCCATTATTGAGTTTGACCCGAATTCTTGGGATTTGAATGCATATTTGAGTTACGGAATTTACTCCATTCTTCGGATTTGTGTAGACTGTGTGAATCTAGAATCTTATTTTATCTTCAGAATTAACGCTGAACGTCGTTCGATTTATTATTTGTTGTTGCATAAACATCAACAAAGGCTGTTGCTATTTCTTCGCAGTATTTTTGTCAGTGTTTGGGTCTACGTTCGTTTAATGCTGGCAACCCTATATGTGACGCTTTTTGTGCCGCCATTATCCGACATCAAACGTAATAAAATTAACAGGCCGCTCTGACGGCCATTTGTCCGTGTCCACTTAATACCGAACACGACTTTAAATTCATTATTGGGGACAGATTGAAATTTCGGCGACAGATGTATGCAAATAGAAAAGCGTTTTCGTGAGTTTCCACTTGTATGAAACATATAGTCATCTCTTTCCTTGTTTATAAAGAGAACAGAGATAAATATATTTTTCCACGTCTGTTTGGCTAGTTGAATATATTGATTTAGGATTGTAAAAGGTATCGGAATTAAAAATGCAAGCTTATGGGAACGACATGTTTTGCTGAAATTAAATTTTAAAGCGTTGGAAATGAAACACCTGTGAAACCAATTTCCGATCGCCGAATGTACGAAAGAAGGAATAAAGAAATCGGAATGTTAGAATATTTAAACTTTAAATTCCATGTATTAAGTTGAGTTTTCAAATAGCGTGGTTTACTTTGTTAAGACAACTTAGGACTCGATGATGAGGACGGAGGATATACTCCATCTCATGAGTATATAGAAATTCTATTTTGCATATAATCTCAATTGGATGCCTTATATTTAAACGATAATATTATCATAAACATTTAATTCTACTTCGATACTAGATCTACAAATTATCGCGAAAAATACCGCGCTTATTCTTAATACTCCGAACTGACATTGACAGATGTCATAGGGACGGGACATGTATGCCAAATTATCTAGTGTTGCACCGCTATACCGGCAAGTTACGGCAATTTTTCTTAACACTAGTCAAAATGCTATTTTTAATTTAGTTATAATTTTCTAAACGTCATCATAGACGTTTGTATCGCTATAAAATAATAACCTTAATAATTACGACTGGCGTTAAAATTAAGAAGTAATCTGGACGCGCATAAATTTTAATTAACTGATGCTATAAAACAACACATTAAGTTGTAAAGCCCAAGTCTAAGGGTAAAGAGGAAGCGATTTTCCCATTTCACAATATTTTTTGATAGTCAAATTATACTTTTTACTTTCTGCTTTCAAACGAAAATGTAGTCTTGCGAAATAAATATTACATCACATACGTTACGTTACATATGGTTCTATTGGTGTGCAAAACATAATAACTGAATCTGTTAAATTGCGTGTGAAAATCGTTATAAAGATATATTAAACATATTGTCAGTTATTAAACGATTTTAACAACATCACGTTTCAATTAGGTTTCGTTGTCTTGTTGTTCTGCTATTCCGCTACAGCTTATAACTTATAATTTTTATTTGCAAACAACATCTTTAATATCCCACAAGGTAATTTGATTCAGTTTTATAGGATCGTAACATCAATTTTCTCCTTCAAGGTAAGAGTTCAATTAAGTCATGTTAAGTTCATAGCACTTTGACTAATGAGTACTCATAGCTATTTACGAATTTACGAATACGAAATAAATGAAAAGGGCACTCTAGTAAGCTATCATAATTTATTTTGTCTTACCCTCACCAGTCACCGCAGGTTTTTATGGATTGGCCATACGCTTCGCCGGGATCCCAGCCACATTTCCAGGGAGGCCCTAGAGTGGATTACACAAGGAACAAGAAAGCGTGACCGTCCTAAACGAACCTGGCGGCATTCAGTGGTGGCTGACTTGAAGGCAATCGGGCTGTCATGGTTCGAGACAAAACGCAGATCCCAGGACATAGCGAGCTGGCGGCGTACTGTAGACGCCTTCTGTCCCACTTTGGGCACATAGGAAAAGAAGACAAGAGAGACCCCCACCAGTCAGAGATTTATTTCGGTAATCGATGATTGTTATTTCAAATAATGTATTATTGTTCAATCATTTGTATTCAAATATATCGCCGTCTTTATTTTTTCGATGTACGTAAATGAGAGAGAAGACGTTTTATACAAAATAAGTGCGTTCATTTGTCTTAAAT